GCGCGCGTCGTCGCGCGCGCATGCCGAAATCCTTCAAAAACCTTCGGTGCCGGAAGGATTTCGCAATCGAGTTCCCAAAAAACATGCAAAAACACATGGTTTCGCACCACTGATTTGCTAAAAAAACTTCCGCGCGAGCTCTTGCGAAATCTTGTAAAAAAAACAATCGGTTTTTCAAGATTTTCGCAAAATGCTACCAAACGGGCTTCGCGCGCGCGCATGTCGAAATCTGTCGAACGCCCTTGCGCGTGTGCCGTCGCGAGAATCCTCTGCAAAAAAAGAGACGAAGTGCAGACGCGCGCGTGCGCCGAAATCCTTCAGCACCCATCGGTTTCGGAAGGATTTCGAAATCGCGCGTCCAAAAAACCTACAAAAACCGAAGGTTTCGCAACACGGATTTTCAACAAAAGCGTGCGCGCGCGCTCTTGCGTCGTCGTCGTCGTCGTCGTCGCCGTCCTCCTTCCTCCCACGTCGTTGTCGTCGTCGTCGTCGCCTACGTCGTCCTTTGTCTTTCCTCGTGTTCGTCGTCGTCGTCCTCTTTGGCGTCGTGGTCGTTTCCGTCGTCGATGTCGCCGTGGTCGTCCTTCCTCCTCCTCCCTCGTCGTCGTCGTCGTCCGTCGTCGGCGTCTCGTCGTCGTCCCTCCTATCGTCGTCGTCGTCGTCGTCGTTGTCGTCGTCGTCGTCTTCCCTCCTCCCTCGTCGTTGCCGTCGTCGGCGTCGCCGTCCTTCCTCCTTCTTCGTCGTTCGCGTCGTCGCCGTCCTCCCTCCTCCCTCGTCGTTGTCGTCGTTGTCGCCGTTGTCGCCGTCGTCGTCCTCCCTCCTCCCTCGTCGTCGTCTTCGTTAGCGACGTCGTCGACGTCGGCGTCGTCGTCGTCGGCGTCGGCGTCGTCGTCGTCTTCGTCGTCGTTGTCGGCGTCGTCGTCGTCGCCGCCGTCGTTGTCGTCGTCGTCGTCGTCGTCGGCGTCGTTGACGTCGTCGTCGTCGTCGGCGTCGTCGTTGTCGTCGTCGTCGGCGTCGTCATCGTCGTCGTCGTTGTCATCGTCGTCGTCGTCGTAGGCGTCGGCGTCGTCGTCGTCGTCGGTGTCGTTGTCGTCGTCGTCGTTGTCGGCGTCGTCAAAGTCGTTGGAGATGTCGGTGTTGTCGTAGTCGTTGTCGGCGGCGTCGTCGTCGTCGTTGTCGCTGTCGTCGTCGGCGTCGCTGTCGTTGGCAAGTGCCACTTGGTACCCACCGTCACGGTCTTAAGAGATTTTGCGAACCAAGTTGCGGGTGGGTGGGTGGGATGTTTGCGCGAGCGATGGAGTGGTCAAGCGCGGTGCAGGGTAGTCAATTGCACCACATAGACTGCACCATACGTTTTGGACCACATAGGCGGCACATCACAGGTTTCTCAGCATACACGTATATATACATTTACATACACGTAAATATATGCATGTATTGTGCAACATCGATTGCACTACCTATATCCTCCTTTCTCAAAAGACAGTAGACTCTACCCCCCCCCGGGCGTTCGCCGCCCCCCTTTTCGGGTATGTAAATCATTTATGAGTCTGACCACATGTCCATCCTAAATATGAATTTACAATGTCAAAAATGAACCGGTATCGGCCCCCCTGACGCAACAAAAACGATACGCGGGGACAGTTTTCATTTTAACATAACACTTTTTCGCGAATCCCTTGCAAAGCATTTGACGAAGTGCACACGCGCGCGTCGTCGCGCGCGCATGCCGACATCCTTCAAAAACCTTAGGTTCCGGAGGGATTCCGCAAACGAGTTTCCAAAACACACACACACAACAAACACAGGGTTTCGCAGCAGCTTACGCGCGAGCTCTTGCGAAATCATAAGAAAACCATATGTGTTTTTTTCAAGACTTTCACAAAATGCTACCAGACGGGCGCGCATGTCGAAATCTGTCGAACGCCCTTGCGCGTGTGCCGTCGCGAGAATCCTCTGCAAAAAATGGGACGAAGTGCAGACGCGCGCGTCGTCGCGCGCGTATGCCGAAATCCTTCAAAACCCATCGGTTTCGGAAGGATTTCAAAATCGTGTGTCCATAAAAACCGACAAAAACACAAGGTTGCCCAACACGGATTTTCAACAAGAGCGTGCGCGCGCGCTCTTGCGTCGTCGTCGTCGTCGCCGTCCTCCCTCCTCCCGCGTCGTCGTCGTCGTCGCCTACGTCGTCCTTTGTCTTTTCTCATATTCGTCGTCGTCGTCCTCTTTGGCGTCGTGGTCGTTTCCGTCGTCGTTGTCGCCTTGGTCGTCCTTCCTCCTCCTCCCTCGTCGTCGTCGTCGTCGTCCGTCGTCGGCGTCTCGTCGTCGTCCCTCCTACTTCGTCGCCGTCGTCGTCGTCGTCGTCGCCGTCGTCGTCTTCCCTCCCCCCTCGTCGTTGTCGTCGTCGGCGTCGCCGTCCTTCCTCCTTCTTCGTCGTTCGCGTCGTCGCCGTCCTCCCCCCCTCCCTCGTCATTGTCGTCGTTGTCGCCGTCGTCGTCCTCCCTCTTCCCTCGTCGTCGTCGTCGTCTTTGTGGGCGACGTCGGCGTCGGCGTCGGCGTCGGCGTCGTCGTCGTCTTCGTCGTCGTCGACGTCGGCGTCGTCGCCGCTGCCGTCGTCGTCGTCGACGTCGTCGTCGTCGTTGTCGTCGTCGTTGTCGTCGTCGGCGTCGTCATTGTCGTCGTCGGCGTCGGCGTCGTCGTCGTCGTCGGTGTCGTCGTTGTCGTCGTCGTCGTCGTCGTTGTCGTCGTCGTCGAAGTCGTCGGAGACGTCGTCGGTGTCGTCGTAGTCGTTGTCGAGGTTTTGCAAAATAAGTTGCGGGCGGGTGGGTGGGATGTTTGCAAGAGCATGGGATGTGTCAGATCATGGGCAAAATCAATTGCACCACATAGATTGCTCCGCAACAGTTGCACAACGTATGTTGCACACCATAGTTTATATACATATAGTGCATCACGTCGATTGAAGCATCTAGATCGCACCACAGATATTGCACAACACGCGTTGCACTACACCTATTGCGTCACGTCGGTTGCACCATGTAGATTGCGCAGCACAAAGGGTGGAGCACGTAGACTGCATCACATAGATTGCACAATGCAGGTTGCACAACATGTATTGCACCACCTGTACTGCACCGCATAGTTTGCTTTAGAACGATTGCAAAACACATGTTGCACATGCTTTATTGCGCAAGGTATATTGCACCACGCCGATTGCACCAAGTAGATCGTGTCACTTAGATTGCCCAGCATAGAGCAACACATAGTGCTAGTAATTCACTGTTTGTGGTCCACGTTGGCTACCAATCAGCAGGGAAAAGGGATGGAGGACAGGGAGGAGCTGGGGAGGGAGAGGTGGAGGAGTTGGAGAAAGCGGGGGTGGAAGAGGAGGAGGAGGAGGAGGAGAAGGAGGAGCAGGGGGAGAAGGTGTCGCCGGAGGTGGAGGCGGTGGAGGAGGATGCCGTGCTGGGGGCCCGCTTCTCGTCCCGCTCCTTGTCCCGCTCCTCGTCCCCACACCCGAGGGGCGAGGATGGCCCAGAGCCTTCCGCTCACGCCGCGAACGGGCAGACCTCTCGGGCCCGGCATCCCGAGCAGGGCCAAACGGGCCTCGGCTCGGGCTCCGCCTCGGCTGCCGCTGTCGTCCGAACGGCGGCATCTGTGGCACAGTGCCGCGTCGGCCTGCATGCCGAGGCGCCGCCGAGCCTCGACCCAGGAGTGGTGGCGTTGCGATCGTTTCCTTATTTATTGTTTTGCCGATCGGCGCGGGCCCTCGCCCCCCGCCTGCCCCCCCCCTCCATGGAGTAGATCGTGGCTGTTTGGGCGCCTGTTTCGAGCAGGTGGAGTCCCCCCAAAAGGACGCACTGCCACAAACAGTCGCACTAAGCATAGGTCCAAGCCAGAGCCCCCCCCTCTCACCCCCCCATTCCGCCCAATGTCGAAACGCCGAATAAGAAAACGTTCACCTGCCTCGATCCGAGGCCTCTCCGATCACGGTGCATAGTTCGTCGGCCCCGACCAGGAACAACCCCAGCTGCCATCAGCATTTCTCTGCCGTGCACCTCGCGCCGGATCGAAACTTCAGCGGGCCCCGGCGCGCGCTGCCGCTGGCTCACGGCTGTCAGAATAGCTTGGCGCAGGAAATGGAAAGAAAGCGAGGAGCAAGCAGACGACTGCAGACGCAGAAGCCCCATATCTCTACACCCGGCCAGCACAGGACTGGACCCCTCTCTCCTCCCCAACCCCAATGCATTCACGATTCGCAACTCTCATTTATGCGCAGCAAAGCACACAGTACATCCCAGAGGCCACGTCCTCCTCCACCCGGTCTTGGCTAGGCCCTGACGCCTGTCCGCACTGGTGGTCGCTCGCTGGCTCGCTCGCGCTGCGAACCAATCACGCTGGACACTTCTCGCTAGCTTTCTGGCTTCGGGGGGCCCTCCAGGCCATTATGGACCGTCACAGAACTTTGAATAATTGTCAGATCCTGGCGTCGCATTTCTTCGTGCGGGCATTGTGCTCACAACTGCGAGGACCATCACAGATCGATCCGGCTCGAAACATGCCGCACAGAGACGGGGTCCAGGGCTGTGGTCCTGATTTTTCACGATGCTGCATTTTGTTCCGCGCCACCGCATCTCAGGGGCTGGCCCACGATTGCATTGCCGGTCGCGGGTGATGAGCAGTCTCTATGAGGTCGGGGTCGGTGGCTTGGCGTGTCGCGCTTGCCGCTTCTTGCCCACCACACCTCCCGGCTCGACGCGCGAAAGCCGCGCCCCCTTTGCCAAGCGCCCTCGCCCCGAGCTGCTCCCCGTCCTCCCGCCCCGCGCAGCGCGGCGACCGCGGCGCGCCGCGCAGACAGCTCGTGGGCCGCACCACCTCTCTGGCGGGGCCCCCCCGCTGCGGGCGCAGAAGTCCTGGCGCCGGAGGCCTGGCGCAGGGCTCTCCGCGCGCGGCGCCGAGCTGCAGCGTGCTGCAGGCCACCCCCCTCCCCGCCGCCCGAGGTGGCCCTCGGCAGCGCCCCGGCGCCGCCGCAGAAGGCCCCGGCGCGGTGGGCGGCGGGCGCCGCCGCGGAGCAGCAGGAGTGCGGCCGCCGGCTCTCTCTCCGAGGGGCCCGCTGCGTGCGGCGCACGGGGCCGCGGGTTTCCTCATGCATTCTTTCGCCCCCCAGACCCCCTCGAGCAATGAAAAAATCATGACCAGAGGTTTTTCGCCATTTTCGGCCTCTGGGGGCCCTCACCGGGCCTCAGGACCGTCAAAAAACGATTCCGGATAACAAGCCGGTCCCGGGGAATAGGTCGAGACCTCTGGGGGCCGACGTCATGAAAAAATCATGACGTCGGGGGCCTGGGCCTGTCGCACCCCGAGGCAGCTTTTTTTCTCAGGGCGGGCCGGGCGTTTCGCCCGAGACTTCTTCACCATGTATGACTCGGAAGCTTATATCGGGGGAGCGTAAGACCCGGGTTTGCCGGGACTCGGGTTCGCCATCGTTGTTTGACGACCGCGACTCGGATTTTGACGAGGAGGAGTTTTGTGGGATGTCTGCAGCGGGAGGCCTCGTCAAAATGCAGGCTCGGCCTCGTCATTTTTTTGACGACCT